GTGCGCCGCCGTCGCGGCGTGGTGGCGCTGCGGCCCCTCCTTCGCGGCGCTCGGCTCCCCATGCCCATCCCGGGGAGGAGGAGGAGGAGGAGGAGGAGGAGGAGGAGGACGAGGAGGAGGAGGAGGACGAGGAGGAGGAGGAGGAGGAGGAGGAGGAGGAGGACGAGGAGGAGGGGTAGGAGGAGGAGGAGGAGGAGGAGGAGGAGGCGGAGGAGGAGGAGGACGACGAGGGGGAGGAGGAGGAGGAGGAGGAGGAGGAGGTGGAGGAGGAGGAGGAGGAGGAGGAGGGGAGGAGGAGGAGGAGGAGGCGGAGGAGACGGAGGAGGGGAGGAGGGGGGGGGGAGGGGGAGGAGGAGGAGGAGGAGGAGGAGGAGGAGGAGGAGGAGGAGGACGAGGAGGAGGAGGAGGAGGAGGCGGAGGAGGTGCTTGGCATCGGGCGTCGTCGTGGTCGTCTTCCGCGTCGAAGATGACGATCCAATCCCGTACGCGTCTTCTTCGTCTTCTTCCGCGACGAAGACGACGATCCAATCCCGTGCGCGTCTTCGTCGTCTCCTTCGTCTTCTTCCGAGACGACGTCGTCGTCGCCGTCGTCGTCGTCGTCGTCGTCGTCGTCGTCGTCTTCGTCGCCATCCGCGTCACCATGCCCATGCCCATCCCGATCCTCATCATCCCACCTCCCCAGTTGGGGATACAATTTGCACTCGCGCCCCGAGGGAAGCAGGCCATATACATGTGGGTCGTTGAAAGTAGGTATTTTGGGATGCCCAGATCCCAATCTACTTTAGCAGGCTTCCTACTGCAAGAGTCGAGCGGTATTCCCTTTGCCCTCGTCCTCAGGGGGCTCGCGGAAGCCCAATCTACTTCCAACGCTTTCCTACTTCATGTTTGTACACCTTAGGCGATGCTTAAGAAAACCAGAGTTTTCGGCCAGAGTCTCGATTATTCTTAATGTTTCAATTTAAATCCCAACATTTGAATAGACATTCTGGGTTTGATTTCAAATTCTGAGACTCTGAGTTTCTTAACCCATGATTTCTTGAGCATGTCGCAGGGTGTACGTGTAAGCGATCGCCATCCCCATGCCCACCCCGATCCCCACCATCCTACCACCCCAGTTGGGGGTGTACCCCTCGAGAGCCCCGAGGGAAGCAGGCCACCTACAGTCAACCCGCTGGGTAAGTTTCCCAAGGGTACCCTTGCATCCTTGCCCCTTCGGCCCATCCTTGGCGACTTTCGCTGGCCAACCTCGTTCGAAAAACATGGGCCTCCAAGGCCCTTGCCTCCTCACCGCGCATCCTTACGATACGGGTTGACTGTACCCCCATCCAGGGGGGCAAGTCAAATCGGCCAGCGGGGCCCAGGCCACGCCAGTGTGGCCAGGGATCGGTTCTGCGATGCCCAGGTGCCCTCGCCGCAGGCCCGTCGCGCCGAGAGGGGCGTGGTCGCCCGCGGCCTCTCCGGCGAGGCCGCGCCTCTGGGCCTCGCGGGCGCGCGGGCGCCCTTCGGCGGCGCCGCCGCGCGGCATGCGCCGCCGCTCCTCGGGGAGGCCGCCGGGGGCGGCGGCGCCGGCAGGGCGGCGGACGGCGTGTCGCTCGCCCTCGCGGCGGCGGGCGCCGCCGTGGCCATGCGCGCGGCATCGGCAGCCCTGCGCGCCGAGGGCGAGGCCGCGCCCGCGAAGGAGGAGGGCCTCCTCGACAAGTACAAGGTGGTGATCTACATCGCCCTCTGGTATGGCGGCGGCCTGCGGCCCCCTCCCGCCGCCGTGTGCCGGTGTCTCGTGGGTCGGGGCCGCCGTTTTTTGTGAGCGATTTAGAGGGCCGCAGCCCATCCCCGGGCTTCCGAGGTGGCCTCGCCGCCTGGTGGTCCAGGGGCCATGGACCGGTAGTCTACAGTAGCAGTCCAGTGCCCAGGACCATCACGGACTCGAGGGCGCCCCGCTGCGTTCGAAGAAGATCAAACGGTACGCATCTACACTTTTGGCGCTCCGTGCGGATTTCTCGGATCGGCGCCCGGGGCCTCCCGGCGGCGCTTCCGGCGCCGCCCTCGGCGCGCTCCGCGCGCCAGGGAGAGGGGGTCCAGCGCAGACCCGAGAAGTCCGCGCCGAGCGCCAGAAGTGTATGTCTGTGCAGTTTTTCTTTCGTCTAGTCCAGTCGCAGTCCAGTCAAGGACCATCAGGGACTTGAGGGCGCTGCGCTCCACTACGTGCCTGGGGCAGGGCGGCGGATGTCTTCAACATCGGGTATAATATCTACAACAAGACGGCGCTGAACATCTACCCCTTCCCGTGGGCGGTGGCGCTGTGGCAGATGGCTTTCGGGTGGCTCATCTTCGTGCCCCTGTGGGTTTTCGGCATTCGCAAGACGCCCAAGCTGACCGTGAAGCAGGCGATCACGCTCTCCCCTGCTGCCCTCGGCCACCTGGCCACGCACGTCGGCGCAGTGGTGGCCTTCTTCGCCGGGGCCGTCTCGTTCGGCCACATCGTGAAGGCGTCGGAGCCCGTGGTGTCTTCGATCTTGAACGCTGTCTTCCTGGGCGAGGTGATGGCTTGGCCAGTCTACGCCGCCCTGACGCCGATCATCTTCGGCGTGGGCCTCGCGAGTGCTTCCGAGCTGTCCTTCACGTGGCTTTGCTTCGGCGCTGCGATGGCCTCCAACCTCGGCTCTGCGGCTCGCGCTGTGTACAGCAAGAAGGTCATGTCAGGCGGCCAGATTGGAGAGAACATGGACTCCGCCAACACGTACGCTGTGCTCACCATCATGGCCACCTTCATGCTCATCCCGATTGCCATCGCGATTGAGGGCCCCTCCGCGATGCTGAAGGGTTTCGCGGCTGCCAAGGCGGCCAACGGCGTGCCCTTCCTGCTGGCCATGTTGTACAGTGGGTTCACTTATTACATGTACAACGAAGTCGCCTTCCTGGCCCTCGGCAAGCTGGACCCGGTTTCCCACGCAGTGTGCAACGCAATGAAACGGGTCGTGATCATCATCGCGGCCATCATTGTCTTCAGGACGCCTGTGACGGGCCTGGGTATTGCTGGCAGCTGCATTGCCATCGCTGGAACTTTGCTGTATTCTCTGGCGAAGAACAAGTTTCCTGGCAAGTAAGCCTCCGAGGATGCCATTCCTGTGATGGTAGGCTTCTGATCGATCATGCATTGTACACTAATTTTGTTTTTCCCTCTCCCATTTTCCCACTGTTTTCTGACACGCATGTGACGCAGTTTTATGAATCGCATTGGTGCGCCCTTGCACTTCAATATCGCCCTGCCATTGTTATGGTAGTGAAAGGGCCACTCTTGTTCTCCTGCCCTCCAGCCCCTCCCTCCCCCCTTCTGACCCCTCCTCCCTCCAGCGAACGTTGGCTTGACGCCCTCTTCCGCCGTCGTAACGCCCCTCCCCCCCAGCCCGCCCCCGAAGTTTATCTAGAAACATCCGGCGAACGTAGAAAATCGCCGAGGTAGCGACTGCGACAACGACGACCAGACATCCGCTCGAAGCCGATCTCTGGAGTCCCGAGCGGCGCCCGGCCGTGGCGACAAGGGGGGAGCCTGGAGGCCCATAGGAGGTGGAAGAGGAGGAGGAGGACGACGACGACGACCACAACGACGACGAGGACAAAGACGACGACGACGACGACGACGACGACCATGGCGACGACGACGACGACGACCATGGCGACGACGACGACGACGACGACGACGACGACGACGACGACGACGACGACGACGACGGCGACGGCGACGGCGACGACGACGCCGCGAGCAGGAATTCGTGGTAGTACTCCTCCCGCTCTTCGTCTCTCCTGCAGCGGCGGCAGCGGCTCCTCCTCCCCCCCTTTAATCCCTGGCTTCCAGGCCACAACTCCCGCCTCGGGCGGACGTTTGGGACCGTCCCGGCGTCCTTGGGATCCCGTCGACGAGGCTCGGCTGCCAGAAACAGCCCCAGGCCCGTGCATCCTGGGAAACTTCCGTGGATTCGCGGAAACTTCCGTGGATTCGTGGAAACTTCCAGAAACTCGCCGCTGACAAAAAGTGTTCGCGGCGCGAGCACTTTTTGTCAGCGGCGAGTCCAAGACTCGGTCGGGACGGCCGGGGGACACCTCGGAGCCGAACTGGGCGCCACGGGAGCAGGGCAGGCGCGGAGGGCGGAGGAAAAGCCGCGGGCGGCGGAGCACGCTCGGGCAGTGAAGAGCTGGTGCGCGTGCCGGAGCACAGGCTCACGCGGGCAGCAAGCGGAAGTGGTGAGGCGGCCGGCTGAGCAGGGGGCGGCACGGTCAGTCACCACCCACCAAACCACCCCAACCCAACCCGAAGGCCTCAATTTGCCCTCCATTTCCAGTGGGGGGGGGATCGGGGAACGTCGAAAAAAACACATGGTCCCCGTACCCCCCCCAACCCGAAATTCGGGTCAAATTCGTGACTTCGGGTTGGGTTGGGGTGGTCTGGTAGGTAGTCAGTCAGGGAGTGGTGAGGCGGCCAGGGCACCGGGGTGGGCGAGGTGGCCCAACGAACCAGGGTGCCTCGACTTCTTGGGAGGCTGCGCGTGCAAGCCGTGCGAAGGACAGTCCAGCTTGCAAGGGCAGGGAACACCGCGAACATTGCGAATCCTGGGAGTTTTGTGTACCCTCGCAATTCTGTCTTCAGCGTCGACTAGCGTCAACTAGCGTCTGGGAGTCGATGCGATAGCGCCGATTCAGCGTCGGCCAGCGTCGATCAGCGTCGATTTAGCGTTTATTAGCGTCGATTTAGCGTCGACTAGCGTCGATTCGCCAGAGCCGACCAGATGGTATGGGAGGCTCCCATGCGTTACCACCGAAGCTTTACCGTGCTGCAGTTTCGCGTGCGGCCGTGGTCAAGTTCGATCCGATCCCAGAAATGTTCAAGCCATGACTTCGGCTCGACTGTTGGAGCCGTCGAGCAGCAATGCATCATCAACGAAGCATCGATAGCACTATGCCTGTGAGAATCGCACCCTGGGGATTAGAAAGTTCGGGGACCGCAG